TGAGACCGCCATTTTTAAGGAGACATCTTATCCTGATTGGAGATTCCCCCCCCTCCTTCTTTGGAGAAATTGAAGCAAACTGTCTATATACAGTTGGAGAATTTCAGAAGACTGGTTGTGCCCAGGTGTAACAAGACTAGTCCACAAAAAGCTGATTTGTCAAGCTTGGTATCTTTTTTGCAATATGCCACCACAGGAATAAACCTGAAGTATTTTTTTCCCCCCTTCAGTCTGTCCTGCTCTAAGAATTTGCAGGTAAAAAAATTGGGCTCCATTGAATTGACATAGTCCTCAACTAATGGCCAAAAGCTGGGACCAAAATTCCCCACCGCTAAGAAGGTGGTTGTGAAATGACCTGTGCCTGATCTTTTGTCCTTCTTTTATACCATGGTTCTTAAGTGAATCACTGCAGTTATAAAGAGAATTATATGGTCATTAAATGAACTTGGCTTCCATTCATTGACTTTGCTGGTCACAAGCTGGCTGGGAAGAGTACAAATAGTGATCATGTGATCAAAGGATGCTGCAACCATCCTAAACATGCCAGTTGCCAAGCACCTAAAGTTTGATCACGTGACTGGGAGGATGCTGCTGCAATGGTCCTAAGTATGAGGACCGTTTTTTTCAGACATGGTTGGCCATTGCCTTCTTCTTAGGGCTGGGAGAGAGGGACTGGCCCCAGGTCACCCAGCTGCCTTTGTGCTTAAGGTTGGACTAGAACTCATGACTTCCTCATTTCTAACCTGATGCCTTAGCCACTACGCCAGTGGTGGTTGTAAGTCAAGAACTACCTGTAATCCTGAACGTAACAGTCTACAAAAGTTGGTGTTGTTATAACTTCGGACGCAACTCAATAATACAGAATGCAGATTTGAGAATACAGTCATGGAACCGACTTTCTCTGTCCACACCAGGGGTGAAATGCTACTGGTTCGCTCCGGTTCGGGTGAATCAGTAATAAAAAAAAGCTACCAGTTTCTCCGAACTGGTATTTCCAACGATCAGCTGTGCCGCGGGGTTTAGCTTTGCTACAAAGCAGGAAATCCTACTTTTGAGCAAAGCTAAATCACGCGGCACAGCTGATCCCCCCCCCTCGCTGTTCTGCTTCCCTTCCCAAGCCTCCTTTTGGTGTGTGCTGTGCATGCATTCATGCACGCAGCGCATATTTGGTGCGCACTGCATATGCACACACAGTGTGCGTTTGGCGCGCGGCACGCATGCACGGCCAGCAAACCAGTTTGGATTCTCTAATAACTGGTTCTCTAATAACAAATAGATGTTATTAATTAACTGATCTCAGCAACAGATATCTGGAAGTATTGTTGTACCAATTAGTTCCTTTAATGCAAGAATACCGTTTCACAGCGTTTGAAATGTAATATTTCTCAGCCCCGTTCCCTTTGTTGCATTTCCAGTTTCGGATAGAAAAGGAACATTGTGCTACGGTGTTTGTGGCACACACTTTCTAATTAGCAGCAGAGAAAAGAGGCCCTGCGAAGAAGCAAATGAGATGTATTTCCAAAGATGTAATCCTCAATTCAATTGAAAATGAGAACAAAAAGACTTAGTTTTAGATAGTATGATAGTTTCATTTTCCACCCACCGTCTTGCTTGGTGCTCTCTGGGCTTGATGGTTTGCTTGCAGACGTTTTGTTACCTGACTAGGTAACATCATCAGTGCTGGATGATGATGATGATCAGTACAGCACTGATGACGTTACCTATCCGGGTAACGAAATGTCTGCAAGCAAACCTGCAACCTGGCCTGGTCTGCAACTCGACTAGGTGGCTCAAGTGGCTAAGACACTGAGTTTGTCGATCAGAAAAGTTGGCAGTTGGGCGGTTCGAATCCCTAGTACAGGTCTCCTGCGTGAGCAGGGGGTTGGATTAAATGACTTCCAAGATCCCTTCCAACTCTGTTACTGTTATGTTAACCACAAAGCTCCGAGAGAACCAAGGACCCCACAGTTTAACTCTTGAGTAGAGACTCCCTTTCTGTTGGCTCATCTAATGCATAAGAATCAAATTAACGTCATTTTGAAAGTGCAAACCTGACGTTTTGGTCTCCCAAATGCATTTGCGTTCATTGTGTGTACGTACCTGGAAATAAGATATCCCCTCCCCCCGGTGAAATTCAAATTTTTTTACTACCGATTCTGTGGGCGTGGTTTGGTGGGCGTGACAGGGGAAGGATACTGCAAAATCTCCATTCCCACCCCACTCTGGGGCCAGCCAGAGGTGGTATTTGCCGGTTCTCTGAACTGCTCTACCGGTTCTCCAGAACCTGTAGGAACTTGCTGGGTTTCACCCCTGCCCCCCCACCCCCCGAAGTGATCTTGCGCACAGATCTCTTTTGAACAGCTCTGAGATGAAAACTGGGCTCCTTGACGATCTCCCGTTTATTTAAGATGGCAATCTCGCCGAGACAAATGTAATATTGTTGGCAAGGATTTGGGTAGAAGGTCACCAGGTGCACAGCTGAACTCTTAGCATTTTGCCTTGTGGTTTTTCTTGGGTTTGTCGCGCTGCCAATTTGAACTCTTCCCGGCCATTGTTTGCATTTTTCTTTTCAAGATGCTTTCTTTAAGAAGAGGAGCGGGGAGAAAAGGGAAAGGAAAAAACTACTAGGCTAAAAATAAGGGGAAAATCACAACTGTATTAATTGAAGAACCACTATGAAATATTGCTTTAAGAGGAAAATTTACTTATATGTTGTATGTTTTGTAAATGTTTTTTATATGTGTTTTATATGTGTTTTAATAAAGTTTATAAATAAATAAAAAGACGCTTTCAGCGCATTGCTTTTCTATGGTGCGTGCGGGATGCGAACACATCTCTTTAATTGTCCTGTGCTGCTTCCTATGCATAGAGAAAGACAGCTGAAGGGCATATAGCCTAAAAGCACTTAAATTTTCTGTATTTCGGTTAAATGCGTGTTAAAACGAAATTTGTTTGCCTCGAGCCAAAAATGCAATCCTTTGATATCCCCCCCCCCCATACTATCTACGCCAATGATGGAACAGTTTGACTGATGCAATGATCTTTTATCTTAGACAGCCTGTTTATTTACATATGTATGTATTTATTTAAAAGATTCATATAGCTGTCCATCTTAAGTTATCTGGGCTGCTTCTGAAGGGGGCTTTAAAGAAATAGATCTGTATTACACCAGGGGTGATGCCTTCTCCGTTGATGGAAAAGTTTGTATCTGTAGTTTTGTGACCAGCCTAGGCAATTAATAAAGACGCCAGGGAATTTCTAGAAGCCTGGTGTTCTGACAAATCATCAATAGACATTAACAACATTTGTAGACTGTGCAAAAGAGACAATCAACCAGCCTAAAAGAGAACCAAAAAGGACCCCAGCACATCTCCTCCAGCAATCAACACCCAGATGAGCATAGATTAACTCCAAGGTTAATTAATTTATTTATTTATTGGTTTGATTTATATGCCGCCCTTCTCCGGAGACTCAGGGCGTCTTACAATGCGTTAAGCAATAGCCTTCATACTTTCGTATATACCTGCTTAGTAGGGCTTTCGGCCCCCCCAAGCGGTGTTCTTTTTTTTATACAAAGTCAGCTTATTGCCCCCACAAACCGGGTCCTCATTTTACCTACCTCGGAAGGATGGAAGGCTGAGTCAACCTTGAGCCTGGTGAGATTTGAACTTGCAGTAATTGCAGGCAGCTGGTGTTACTTAACAGCACTTTAATCTGCTGCGCCACCAAGGTTCTTGGTAATATCAGACCAACAAGAAGCAAACAATATCCCAATCAAGAAACTGCCAAAGAAGCCAACAGCCATTGTGCAAACCGAAGCATTATGACATTAAGATTTTTTTTTAAAAAAAATCCAATCTGATTTAGTTTTATGGGTACACGGGGTGATAATGTCTGTTGGCTTTGAACGAGGAAAAATGCGTGCATGCAAGTTGTAACAAGCCCATTCTCTTAGTAGAAATGTTCTAGGTTTTAATGCTTCTTTTTTTTTCTTTTGAAAAATTCACTTTTGTATTTCCTTTGAATGTATGTGTGTGTGTGTGTGTGTGTGTGTTTTAAAAGCCCATTTTTCTTCAACCAGAGAGCATTTCAGTAGAGGGCAGAGTCCTCTTATCAATATTGTATTGTGTTAAATCGAATTATATTTTGGATGTCAAAGTTAGGATCATGGGAGTTATTCTTTTTAGGGGGAAAAAAAAAACCAACGTAAAATTCATGGTTGTACCAAGTTGTTGAAAAGGAAGCCAAAATTTAACATGGTTGACAAACATGGGTTTTACAATGAGATCCCTGACATATCAAATAATTAAGCATGAAACCACAAATAGGTTATAATTTCATGTTCAGAACAAAGCTTTCTGTGCAGCTATTTTGATTGTTTTGAGGTTTGCCCTGAAAAATGCATCTCTCAATAGAGCTAAACTGGGTTTAATGGTGGGAAAATGTGCTCTAAGTCAAACCCAGTGGTGAAATCCAATTTTTTTTACTACCGGTTCTGCCGGTGTGGCTTGGTGGGCGTGGCAGGGGAAGGATACTGCAAAATCTCCATTCCCACCTCAGGGAAAGGATACTGCAAAATCCCCATTTCTACTCCACTCCTGGGGGAAGCATACTGCAAAATCCCCATTCCCTCCCCACTCCTGGGGGAAGGCTACTACAAAATCCCCATTCCCTCTCCATTCCTGGGGGAAGGATACTGCAAAATCTCCATTCCCACCCTACTCTGGGGCCAGCCGGAGATGGTATTTGCCAGTTCTCCGAACTACTCAAAATTTCCGCTGCTGGTTCTCCAGAACCTGTCAGAACCTGCTAGATTTCACTCCTGGTCAAACCTAGAACAAAACTCTAAAAATTCAAGAGGTTTGTTTCACGCTAAGGATGCTCAAACGTCTCTTTTAAACTTGGAAGCAGGTTAGAGATATTTTGTGCCTCCCTATAGCTAAACTCAACGCAATTTCTAGAACGTTCTCCTTAACTCCGCCTCTCTCTTTCGCACCCAGTTGCTCTGCCCCCAGAAAAGACAGAGGGAGCTTGCAGTGGTGATGAGAAGAAAGCAGAAAAGGAAACGGATGGCCGCGCAAATGCCAAGAAGCAGCTAAAATTTGAGGTAAGCATGTTGGTGTTTTGCAAGTTGCTCTTAAGATCTTGAAAAGATGGTCATTTCCATCCAATTGGCTAATCGGCTCTATATTAGTGGTTTTGCGAAGGCAAGCGTCGTTCGAAACAGTGATGCTGGTTTGGTTCCAAACATTTGGGGAGTGTTCTGAGGTCAGGACGGCTCTGGTTCGCGCTTGGAACCCTTCCAGGAGAGTTGGAACAAGATCAGAACGCTTCCAGAAACGATGAAATAACCCATTTTTGAACTTGAAACGGCATTTTGGAGTCTTGAAATGTTTTGTCTTTGAAACATTTCACAAGCCTGCTTCAATGCGTGTCCTGTTTTCCTGGAAGATAGAAGAAGCTTCAAGAGTTCAGAGAACTGCTAGCTGCGTGCCCTATTTGGGAGTGCATTCTAAATATTGGAGAGGATTATCTTGTGTGTGACGTTGTTGTTGTTGTTAGTTGCAAAATCATATCTGATCCATCGCAACCCCATGGACAACGTTTCTCCAGGCCTTCCTGTCCTCTACCATCCTCCGGAGTCCATTTAAGCTCACGCCGACTGCTTCAGTGACTCCATCCAGCCACCTCGTTCTCTACCATCCCCTTCTTCTTTGGCCCTCAATCGTTCCCAGCATTAGGCTCTTCTCCAGGGAGTCCTTCCTTCTCATTAGGTGGCCAAAGTATTTGAGTTTCCTCTTCAGGATCTGGCCTTCTAAAGAGCAGTCAGGGTTGATCTCCTCTAGGACTGACCGGTTTGATCACCTTGCACTCCAAGGGACTCACAGGAGGGTTCTCCAGCACCAGAGTTCAAAGCCTCAATTCTTTGGCACTCAGCCTTCCTTATGGTCCAACTTTCACAGACATATACTGCAACTGGGAAAACCATAGTAATGACTATACGCACATTGGTTGACAGGGTGATGTCTCTGCATTTTAGTAAGCGCTGCTGGTTGGGGGATTCTGGGAGTCCACCCATCTTCAAGCTACCAAGGTTGAGAAACACTACTCTAGATTCATGCCCAATTGGCCTGCAGCACTAGCTGACTTTAGCTGATCTGGAAAAGCTAAGCCGGACCAGGCTCGATCAGGACCACCAGGAGTGTAGACTAGACTGAGAAACTAGAAAAAACAACAAATTGAAAGGAGAAGAAAAAAAAAAAAACCTGGATAGCTCATTCCAAGAAATCACTAGGAATCAAACTTGGTTCAAGAGAGACCTTTTATTTGGTGTATTCTTGTGTATGCAATAGTTCCACGCGTGCCAGCCAAGCACCAGAGATCCTAACCGTGGCAAAAATTTGTGTGTGTTTGTGTATTATTCTTATGTCTCATGAACTGGCGCTACTGAAGTCTCTCTGCTAGCTGTCATCACGCTTCTTTCTCCGAGTTTCTGTTTTCTTACTTTCTTGCCAAAGGTGATCAGTATGTTGTTGTTGTAAAAGATACAGATAATGCTGGGAGTAAACAGAGCCAATTACAACTACGTAAGTGATCTAATTCTCCTCCCCGAGTATAAATTCAGCTAAGTAGACAGATTAAGAGCCCTTCCGAGGTTGGCTGTGATCTTGCCAAAATGGTTCCAGGACTGTTCCAGGACTGATAACTGAAGTTGGAAAAGAATAGGCTTTCATCTTTTCTTTTTTTTTCGCCCCCTCTCCTACGCCTCCTGGATTGCTCTTTCAAAATATAATTAGTGAATCAAACAGAGAGAGATCCTTGAAAAAAATAGGGACTTTTCCTGTAGTTTCATTGATATCTAACACAGTCAATGGTTTCTATGATTTGAGTGGCTTTAAGATTGAGTCTCTCCCTCCCTCCTTCCCTTCTCCCTGCCTCCCTTCCTCTCTCTCTCCTCTCCTCTTCTATCTCCTTCCTTCCCTCTCTTCCTCTCTTCCTTCACCCGCTCTCTTTTCCCTCTACTCTTATCTTCTTCCTTCCCTTTTTCCTCTCCTTTTCTATCTCCTTCCTTCCTTCCCTCCCTCCCTCTCTTTCTTCACCCTCTCTCTTTTCCCTCTCCTCTTCTATCTTCTTCCTTCCTTCCCTCTCTCCCTCCCTCCCTCTCTTCCTTCACCCTCTCTCTTTTCCCTCTACTCTTCTATCTCCTTTCTTCCTTCCCTCCCTTCATCTCTTCCTTCACCCTCTCTCTTTTCCCTCTCCTCTTCTATCTTCTTCCTTCCTTCCCTCCCTCCCTCTCTTCCTTCACCCTCTCTCTTTTCCCTCTCCTCTTCTATCTTCTTCCTTCCTTCCCTCCCTTTCTTCCTTCACCCTCTCTCTTTTCCTTCTACTCTTCTATCGCCTTCCTTCCTTCCCTCCCTCCCTTCCTCTCTTCCTTCACCCTTTCTCTTTTCCCTCTACTCTTCTACCTCCTTCCTTCCTAGAGCCATGGTGGCACAGTGGTTAGAGTGCAGTACTGCAGGTCACTTCTGCTGACTGCTGATTGCAAGCAGTCTGGCAGTTCAAGTTCCACCGGCTCAAGGTTGATTTCAGCCTTCCATCCTTCCGAGGTCGGTAAAATGAGGGCCCAGATTGTTGGAGGCAATATGCTGATTCTGTAAAACCACTTAGAGGGGACTGTAAAAACACTGTGAAGCAGTATATAAGTCTAAGTGCTATTGCTTCCTTATCTCCCTCTCTTCCTTTTCTGTACTTTTCTCTCTCCTTCCTTCCTTCCTTCCCTCCCTCCCTCCCTACATAACACCTCATATCAACAACTATTGATAATAAAGACAAAAAAACCTCTGGATAGTGGACTCAGCAGTACTTGGAGACAGCATAACAGTTGAGAAACAAATGGAGAAAATCCCAAAATATAAAGTCTTGGCAAACAGAAGTGTAATGAACATGGCAAGAGAAAGCAAAGATAGCACCAGTAATAATAATTGGTGCCTTGGTTCAATCCCAAAACCTCTGAAGCACCACTTGAATATCTGTCGGCATTGACAAACTCCCCACCAGTCAATTGCAAAAGGGCAGCTTGACTTGGAGCAGCTTACACCCTGCAACGATATCTTTTCACACCATTGAAGAACAGTATCTGCCCATCCCAGGACCTCGGGGGAAGGACTCGATAAGTGGATAAAAATGCCAAATCCAGTCGGACTGCGTGATTAGCTGTCAAGATACCCCGCGCTGATTTCTATCTCCCGGCTGTGCAAGACAGAAGCATCTCCTCCTGTGTCAGGTGTGGAGTGGGGGCACCTGCATGTGCCCGCTTGCATTTCAGATCAGAGTTTCTCAGTGGTGCAAGCGAGGGCCTAAGCACCCAGGAGGCAGCTTTCATTTTATGACAGGGCACTGAAACTACGACAGACAGCCAAAGAGGTCTAAATCGGAGGCTTTTAAAGAAGCTGAGAATGTTTGTGTAATCTGAACCTCCACTTCCACAACTGTGTAGGGGTCTTTTGGCAGCTTTCAAGCAGGGGCCTGTAACAAGCAAGAGACGGCTGCCTTTGAACTCAGCGGGGAACTGGGGGCTTTACCGTTAACTGCTGTAGGGAATTGGTTTCAAGTCAGCAGATCAAGGAGGTATTTCAGGCCTTCCATCCTGCCAGAGCTATTTGGAAGTGTTTATTTTCCTTGAGTGCAACAGCTTTTCTTTTAATTGGCCCCCATGCCTTCCTTCGCTCTCCCCGTGACTCCGATCACGCGAGTGCCACAGAAGGGAAGGCGAAGGTCCTGTAAAGTTTGAGGTGAGGCCTCGGATTGAAACGAGACGGTTGTGCAAACAGTTTTTCCTCCTTGGAAAAAAAACTCTTTTTAAGACTGAAACTGGAAAGTTCCCTAGTTTAATTCTTACCTTAGCCAGGTAGGAAGACCCAGGCGTCCTTTCAGGAGCTATAAGTAAGTCCTCGACTTACAACAACAGCTCGTTTAGTGACTGTTCAATGTTACCGCGGCACTGAAAAAAAAGTGACTTTTTTCACACGACTTAATGTGGCAGCATCACATGATCAAAATCCAGACTCTTGGCAACTGATTGGTATTTATGACGGTTGCAGCGTCCCGGGGTCATGTGATCTGTCCACATCTGCCAACACATAACTTTCTGCTACATAGAAAGAACCACCTCCATTTAGGACATCCCCCTCCTCTTCTTCTCCATAGGTAGTCCAGAAGGACAGCAAAGTTGATGGGAGTCAAAAGCCTCTGAGAGACTTAAGGGAGGGAAGGATCGTTGCACCATACCAGACCTGGCTCCACCAGTAGTCATCAACATGCATGGCCAGTGCTGTCTCAGAATTACGCCTTGAATAGTCTTCAAGGACATCTCTAATGAAAGGGTCTAGATCAAGGGTTCTCACCCTGTGGTCAGATGAACAGATTAACAGAGTTGGAAGGGACTTTGTAGGTCATGTAGTCCAAGCCCCCCTCCCACCCAAGCAGGAGACCCTACACCATTTCTGACAGGTGGCTCTTCTTGAAAGCTTCCAGTGATGAAGCTTCCAGTGATGAAGTTCCCAAGGTCCACGGATCCCTGAGGAACACATTATCACAGGGGGTTCGTGAATTGTTTGTTAAGTCTAGTGTTTTAAATCTTGAGTTAAGTCTTGGGGGGGTCTGTGGCCATGGTCCATGGCCACAAAAGGTATTTAAAGGGAGTCCATGGTGGGAAAAAAGGTTGAGAACCACTGATCTAGATTATCTGTTCCTTGGAGGGCTTTTTGAAGCCACAGCTTAACCACTTTCTCAACACTCACTGCTAATAAAAGGAACATTAAAGAGATTTTCTCCTTTGGAAAAGCATCTTCAAACATAAAGTATGTTTTAGAGAACAACTAGCATTTTGTTTTGGTTAATCTAACACACGTTTTTTGTGTGTTCCTTAGGAATTGCAGTGCGATGTGTCTGTTGAGGAAGACAACAGGCAAGAATGGACCTTCACTCTCTACGATTTCGACAACAATGGCAGAGTCACCCGTGAGGTAAGTCAAATTACACCCTAAAACAGCACCGGATAAAAACAAGGGCAAAGAAAATTGAGAAAAGGTCAATTGTACAAGTCATAAATTAATACATTTCTAGGTCAGGAGAGCATGAATGTTACATGTGACTGAAATGTTACTGATTCATTTTCTATAGTTTTTTGGGGTTTTTTTAGATAAATCCAGGCACTCATCCTTTATGGCAGGGGTCTCCAAACTTGGCAATTTTAAGACTGGTGGACTTCAACTCCCAGAATTCCTCTTCCACAAGTTTCCAAGTTTGGAGATCTCTGTTCTATGGAATGCTTTTGAGATACGTATTTGGAATGTTTTTCATAGATACTAAAAATGACCTGAGTACAACAGGGTTGTGGGTTCAAAGATCTTTCTCTCTTCATCTAATCTAAGTAGGAGACTTGCTTCTCAAATGCATTTGTCTACACCAGGTAGTAGATGTCTATGGAGATTCTCAGTCATCCAGGTCATGGTTGTCCCAAAAAATGCTTTTTCAAGAGGCAACTGGACTTTCTGGTTTTTCTTTGAAGACGTCTCGCTTCTCATCCAAGAAGCTTAAAGAGAAGAAAAAAGAAAAAAGAAGAGCTTTGAAGAAGCTTCTTGGCTGAGAAGTGAAATGTCTTGAAAGAAAAACCAGACAGTTTACTTGCCTCTTGAAAAAGCACTTTGGGGAATATCAGGTAGTAATAGTTTGATATGTAGATCCTCATTGTATGGATGGACTCAGCTGGAATACCATTGCATTAGCAGTGATGTCAGAAAATCTGCCTTTAGATTAATTTGATCTGTGGATCAAACCTCCACAGAACTGGTTCGTATGTGTTGAAATCCTTGCCTGAATTTGCAATCCTGAATGAACATTTATTAATATTAACTAATTAATTAATACACATTAACAATATGTGTTATGGCTGTATTATTATTTATCCTTCATATTTTAGCAATAGCACTTAGACTTATATACCACTTCACAGTGCTTTGCAGCCCTCTCTAAGTAGTGTACAGAGTCAGCCTATTGTCCCCAACAATCTGGGTCCTCATTTTAGCCACCTGGGAAGGATAGAAGGCTGAGTCAACCTTGAGCCTGGTGAGATTCGAACTGCCAAATTGCAGGCAGACGGCAGTCAGCAGAAATAGCCTACAGTACTGCACTCTAACCACTGCCCCACCGTGGCTCATTATTATCTCCTTTATTCCCCCCTCTTATTGATATTATGATTATTGCTCTGTTGCTTTGCATGTACACTGAGAGCTTCTGCAACAGAGACAAATTCCTTGTGTGTTTAATCATACTTGGCCATATAAAGTATTCCGTTCAATTCAAGATATGCCCTCTTTTTAATGGTTCTGCTTTTAGAATACCAGAAGTTCTTGGCTTTTGCACTTGGCATTGTTTGAAGTCAAGGATTAGCACCGTGCGTGTATGTATGTGTGCGTGTTTCAGGAACGTTTTAAAAGTGTGAATCTGGAAAGCGATAAACATCTGAGACAAATTATTCTTTAAACAGAGTGTCAAGAAAGCGCCCTTTGCAAATATTAAATCCTTTCTGGCTCTTCCAATTGCTGTCAGAACGGAGCCAATAAAATAGCAGAAGTCCTTCAGCTGGACCGATAATCACATTTATCACAAGGAGAAGGGATCTAAGACACAAAGAACAATAAGACTTTCCAAAGTGTGAAGATTTTTGCTGCAAAGCTCGCGTGCTGTTATAGATTTTAGAAGTGACACGTCCCACCAACTGTATAAGGCCGTGATGGTGACCCTATGGCATGCGTGCCATAGGTGGCACGCGGAGCCATATCTGTGGGCATGCAAGCATTGCCCTAGCTCAGCTCCAGCGCGCATCTGCGCGCCGGCCAGCTGATTTTCCAGCCTTGCGGTCCATCGGAAGTCGGGAAATGGGTCGTTTCTGGCCTCCGGGGGGATGGGTAAGGCTCTTTTTGCCCTCCCCAGGCTCCAAGAAAGCCTCTGGAGCCTGAGGAAGGCGAAAAATGGGCCTACCGGGCCCACCGGTAACCTTTTTGCCGTCACATGCCAAAAGCAAAGGGAGAGCAGTGGAGTCGCATGCGTATGTGGGGGGAGGGGTGTCACACATGCATGTACGGGTGTGTGTGCTGGGGGGCATTGAATTATGGGTGTGGGCACACATGTGCGTGACCCCCCACACACACTCCCCCCATTTTTGGTACTTGACGGCCAAAAGGTTAGCCATCACTGGTATAAGTGTATAAGGAAGAGCCGAGGTGGCGCAGTGGTTGGAGTGCAGTACTGCAGCTACTTCAGCTGACTGCTAGTTCAGCAGATCTGGGGATCAAATCTCACCGGCTCAAGATTGACTCAGCCTTCCATCCTTCCGAGGTGGGTAAAATGAGGACCCAGATTGTTGGGAGCAATATGCTATTTAGTATACTGTCCTTGGTGTAAGCCGCCCAGAGTCCTCGGAGATTGGGCGGCATAGAAATATGAATAATAAATAATAATTATTATTTAAGGTGTCAATTTTTCAGGCCAAGCTCTTAAGCGTCGCTCAATCTTTCCAAGTTCTTCTGTTAGCCCAGATTTAACCTCACACCCGTGAAATAACAAACACGCACAGTCTATTCCTGGAGTTTGTGTGTCTCTCTCTACCTTCTTGTCCGTAGGGCGTTGCGTTTTGATAGTGTTATACCGACAATTTGTGTGTCTAGATGAGATTCGCACCATGACAAGGTGAGAACGCAGAATTCCTGTGGATTCAGCAAGGCCCAGAGGTGTGTGTGTGTGTGTGTGTGTGTGTGTGTGTGTGTGTGTGTGTGTAAAAAGCGGCAAAGCTTTAGCCAAGTGTGAAGTGTGGTTATTTCTGAGGTGGTGAATTAGAGAGCAAATTGGCATTTCAGAAAGAACTGTGTTGCCGATGGGTTGTTATGGCGGCTGAGTGTTGTTCTTTGTGAATAACTTAGTGGATGCCCTATAGCTTTAAGGCCTTTCTTGAGGAGATCTGTGTTACTCCAGCTTCTGAGAGGTGAAGAGAGATACCAAGAGGATGTAAAAGAAAGAAAGAAAAATGAATATAGGAAGAGAACCTTTGCTCCAAGCACTAATAGACTCATTTCTGCTTTCTCTCTCTTCCCCCCACCCACCCAAAACATTCAAGATTTTTAATTTTATTTTATTTTTATGGGTTTAAGCCATCAAAATGCTTTGGATAAGGAAGAGAGAAAATCCAGCTGTTGCGTTTGAAGTTAAGACTGAAGAAAGATGTTTCTGGGATAGATGAATGCCGAACATCGGTGCAAAACTAGAATGACATTTGGAAGGGAATGCGTGGATATCTGGAATTACTTTTCACTGCACTTACAAAGCCACAATCGTTTTTCAAACACGGGGAGGCTTTTAATTAGCCCACCCTTATTAAGCTTGGAGGTTTTACATCTTAAAAAGCCATTTGCTTTTAAATCTCTAGTGTCGGTATTTTTCAGGGAACTCCACATGGACGGTACTAACTAGGGTGATTAGATTGTTACCAGTTTTCTTTTAAAATTTACCAGAATTTCTTCCAACATCACAGCAAGCACAACCAAACACAGCATTTTGTACAGGGATAAGCATTATTCAGGAGGTAGAGCCTCAACGTTTTCTGCTTCGAGAAGTTGGAGTAGAGATTGGGCTTTCTCCAGTGGTGAAATCCAATTTTTTTTTACTACTGGTTCTGTGGGTGTGGCTTGGTGGGCATGGCATGGCTTGGTGGGCGTGGCTTGGAGGGCGTGGCAGGGAAAGGTTACTGCAAAATCCCCATTTCCTCCTGATCAGCTGGGATTCGGGAGGCAGAGAATAATAGATGGGAGCGGGGCCAGTCAGAGGCGGTATTTACCGGTTCTCCGAACTACTCAAAATTTCTGCTACTGGTTCTCCAGAACTGGTCAGAACCTGCTGAATACCACCTCTGAATACCGGTATATATTGGGCAGAATATTGGGCTCCTGCCACGCCCACCAAGCCACACCCACTGAACCAGTAGTAAAAAAATTTAAATCCCACCGTTGATATTGGGGATATGAATATATTTCCTTTACCTGAAAAGTATCTTAGATCCTGATGACTGAAACCGTTTGGGTGCTAATTAACTGACCCAGAAACTTTTCACAATTGCTCCATAATTGTAATTTTACAATCGTTGAATATCCTCTGCCTTCCTGGAAACCCAGGAAGGGTTTGAGCTGCGGTAATATTACCAAATATTCCTAGCTCTTCGAACTGTCAAGTGTGGGATTTCAGACCATTGGTAAGAATTACTGTTTCTGTAAAGGAAATAAGTTAAGTGTGACTCCTGGCAGAGTAAACACTTATCATTGGGGGTTTTACACATGTATTTTCTTCTGTCTCTAGGATATTACAAGCCTGCTTCATACCATCTATGAAGTTGTGGATGCTTCTGTCAATCATTCACCCAACTCTAGTAAAACGCTGAGGGTTAAACTCACTGTTGCTCCGGATGGGAGCCAGAAGAAGAGAAGCATCATGCTGAACCACAGTGGTAAGATTTGATTGGGGCCTTTCTTCCTTCGCCAAACAAAAAAAAAAATCATAAGATATTTCTGTTCTAACCTAGGCTTCCTGAGAAAGCATATATCACAATCTTAGTCCCAAAAAAAACTCTTTTATTGAGACGGCTGTGAATTACGGTCATTCACAGCCCGTAATGATTCACAAACAGTCTGTGAAGATTCCGACAGATGTCTGCTCGAGTTGACACAGTCTTTCAGGGTAATGTTGATAAGCACCCACCTTTATCTCCCTTGAAACGCTGCCAGAGACCTAATTGTCAATTAGTTTTGCAAGGCCAAATAGGTTAGAACAATTAATCAGTTAGAACAATGAATCAGTGGAACAACTTGCCTCCAGAAGTTGTGAATGCTCCAACACTGGAAGTTGTTAAGAAGATGTTGGATAACCATTGGTCTGAATTGGTGTAGGGTTTCCTGCCTGATCAGGGGGTTGGACTAGACCGCCAAGGTCCCTTCTGTTATTATATTCTATTCTATTTTCCTGCCTTCAAGGCTGGATGCAAAGAAATGCACCTGTCTACCTATTTTTCACCAAGAATAGATGTATCCTGTTTAGTTGGGCTGTGCCAGGAAATCAATAAGAAGAGAGGAAATAACCATCTCTCTTTCTCTTCCCCTCCCCCTCTGTGTGTGTCTGTGTGTGTGTGTGTGTGTTGCAAAAGCAGATCTTCAAAGCTCAAGGCATCGAGCAGAGAGCAAAGCTGGTGAAGAAGCAAGAAGTTGTGACAAGAAGCCAAGGGGTTCCCTCAGGTAAACTGGAGCAAAATGTTTTATCTCTCTCTGGGGAAATGCCACGCTAGATAGCCTTGGATTTAAGCATTCAGTTTAGCACTTCTGGAAACAATGCTGTGCCCAAGATACATTTCCCCTATAGGATGTCCCACATTAACAAGGATGGCCCCATATTAACACGGCACGGTTCAGAAACTCAGAATCAAGACGGTTGAACCTGTCAAATTAAATTATTGATGCATGTTGAAGTTGATATCCGTTTAAGTCTTAGCCCATTTGATGAAAAATAAAACTGTCTCTACCTCCCCGCAAACCAGGAGTGAAATCCAGCAGGTTCTGACAGGTTCTGGAGAACCAGTAGTGGAAATTTTGAATAGTTCGGAGAACTGGCAAATACCATCTCTGGCTGGCCCCAGAGTAGGGTGGGAATGGAGATTTTGCAATATCCTTTCCCCAGGAATGGGGAGGGAATGGGGATTTTGCAGTATCCTTCCCCTGCCACGCCCACCAAGCCACGCCCACAGAACCGGTAGTAAAAAAAAAATGTGAATTCCACCACTACCACAAACCAAGGAAGAATGGACATCGCTGCTGAACTTCCTTCTAGTTAACGATATGTGTGACTTGAATTGAAAGGTTAGCATTTTAATTTTAAAAAAACTAGCGAAAACAAAACACCAACAATTACAAAGTTTTGCAAAGCAGCCAGGCTGCAAACAAGGAGTCCTCTGGTAGTTTTCTCATTCACCGATTAACCAACTCTGAGCCTCTTTGCTGCTCAGCGCAACCCAAGTCAACTATCTGCTGTCTCCTGTTGTAGGAGAATGAGTGGCAGAAACTGGGGATGGAGTTAATAGAGGAATCAGCCTAGAATCGTTATGTAGCCATAAATGGACTGAGCCCGACCTCCCTTGAATTCTGTGGACCCTTATCCAATTCCAAGCAGGTGCTAACCTTGCGTTGAGAAGATTCCTGTGCATGGGTTCTTAGCAATAAATCAGGAGATCGGGGAAGGCCCCACCCCCGTGCATGCGTGGCAGAGAGCCAAAAACCAGCTGGCTGATGGGAGGTGCACACATGTGCAGTGAAGCTGGGCTGGGGCAACGCTGGTGTGCCCACAGAAAGGGCTCTGCATGCCACCTGTGGCACGCGTGACATAGGTTCGCCATTATGGCTCCAGTTCTTCTAATTTTCTACATTAAAATTCTGTGTCACCAAGGTGACTCTAGATTGTCACATCAAGGTATCTTCCAGCCCTTTTTCTTCCATCAATACTTTCAACTGGAGATGCCAGAAGTTGAAACTAAAGTTTCCTTCCCAGAAAGCCTACAACCCGCCAATAAATGTAGAATTGTGTCAACATTTCAGCACGAGGCTTAGTTTCTAAAGGCATTCGCTTGCATGGTACACAATGAAACTAATAGGCAACCTGTAATTGGCGAATAGGTACCATCATGGAGAATCCAAGCCTGAACCGAATGGATGCTACCATCACTGTGTTGATGAAAACATTGAAAGGAGGAACCACTATTTAGATCTCGCAGGAATAGAAAACTACACATCGAAGTTTGGGCCAGGTATGTTGCACCCATGCCTTGCAATTCATTCCAGATCCTGTTATCTTTTGAAATGGGACCATCTGGTTTACTTGGAGAGTGCGCCATGCTGAGTATCCAGAGATCAGGATGCATTTTGAGACTTGGAGCAATGCTCCTGGAAAGGGCTGAAACCAGTAGTGTCAGCTTTGGAAGCCATATTAGGCTGGAAGCTTCCATGCTGCCACCTTCTCATGTGTGGGAAAGTAGGAGGGGGGGATTTAGTAGAGGGGCTGTCTGTAGACATAATAGCATTCTTCCTGTCGGTCAAGGTCAGGCCTTGCCTGCATCTGGAGAAGGAGTGGTCAGAGTGCTGTCTCGAGATGGGACAGATGCAGGGGTGAAATGCTCCCGGTTCGGACCGGATTGCCCGATGCGGTAGTGATGGCGGCGGGTGGTTCGGAGAACCGGTAGCAAAAATCCTTGCGCCCCCCCCCCCCACCACCACCACCATGCCCAGCTGAAGCTTAAGGTTGATTCAGACTTCCATCCTTCCGAGGTGGGTAAAATGAGGACCCAAATTGTTGGGGACAATAGGCTGATTCTGTAAACCGCTTAGAGAGGGCTGTAAAGCACTGTGTAGCGGTATATAAGTCTAAGTGCTATTGCTATTTTCAGCAGGAGTCATTAAGGCAGCCGCCAATGTCCGTTAAATCAGAGGAGAGAATTCGCTCATGTTGCTCTGCAATTTTTAAAAAGATCTTTTGTTGTTTCATAGGCTCTCCACCGATCGCTCAGAAGCACAATCCAACCGTTCGGGTTGCCAATCAAACAAGATCCCGTTCCCATGAGCCAGAGGTCTTCCACGCCCACCAGCGGAGGTCCCCTGTGGTGGATCCTGCCCATATCAACTTAATGGAAGCTTCGTATGCAAAGCTGGCAGAAATTCAGCAGAGGCTGCGAAGTCAAGAGGCCAGCAGGCATTTTGTGAAGTCTCCCAAGGCTCAAAGCAAAAACACGGCTTCCGTTCACACCGGAAGGGCGATGAGAAGTAAACCCATCCAAGGAGTACCGCTTCCCATGGCTTCTCCTACTGCGCGGGTAGGCCAGAACCTACCTTACCACCCCATGCAGTCTCAGCAGACTTACAAGAAACATAAGCAGAGGGCAAAAGAGACTCACCAAGTGTGCAAAAGCTTCCCAGCTCCAGGGACAGTGGTGGAAAAAGAGCACGTCCGAGATCTGCCTGCGGTCATCTTATATGAAGGCCAAGTTGGGCAGATGATCCAGAGACATGAACACCATCACCATCACGAGCATCATCACCACTATCACCACTTCTACCAGACATGAAATGGACTTCTCCCTCTCCCACCTCTTGGGAAGTTCTCCCACCACATGAAGGAAGGCGTGTTTGTGGCCTCTTGGGGGAAAAAAGATCGGTGTTGTCCTTATTCATGTTAGTATTGTTGCTATAACATTAATATTCTGCTAAAGCTATTTTAGAAGTTGTATGAAAAACACTAAAAAAAAAATAATGATGATGATGATGATAATAATAATAACAATTACCTAACATTATTTATATTATGTGGAACTGTATCACTTACTTTAATAACTTGTGGTTTTTATTATTTTGGAAAGAATTGGCTTGTTCAACACACACACACACACACCAATGGTGAGATACAACCAATGTAACAACTGGTTTGCTGAGGTCAGTATAGCAAAGGGGCGGGCAGGTGGGCCCACCTGATCATTGGAGCGAACCTGTTCACTCTCAGCCGATTGTCGGAGCTACCGGTTCGAGTGAACCAATCCGAACCAGCTGAATACCACCTCTGACATACACATAAGAAAACAGCCATAGATATCCTTATGAGAATCTTCACATGAACTCTTTGTGTCTTCGGAGAACACATGAAAGGGTGTGTGGAACTAGGTCCACTCCCAGAAATGTACACCTCAAATTTCATCAGAAGTTTGTGAGAAGTTCTCCGTGGTCATGTGTGAAGACCTCTTCAAGGAGAACTTCACGTTGCCTCTTTGAGCGTAGATGTTCTCTAAGCAAAACTCTAGAGAACTTTCTACAGGATGGGTGTTAAGAGGTGAGTGGGATTCGGATGGTGGGAAATCGGTAGTTGAACATACATCTTGGTTCATGTGATGAGCTGTGTTCAAAATCTTAAGAGACGCCATTGAAGCAAGCTTTCCGTTGTGATTTTAGAAAAGAGGCTTTGAACAAATGGTTAGATACCTAGTTTGTTGCACAGGTTGGCTTACGTCATGGAAACCTGTCAGCAATTTCAAAAATACAAAATAGTTGCTACCTCTTGGATAATTCAAAACTTCTTATTTGATTGAATGTGCTGCCGGAAAGGAAGGGCTGATGGAACCAGGGAAGGGATTTTTTTTTACTTGATTGCATTCATGTAGCCTGCTAATATTTTACTACTCATCACTTTGTTAGCTATCCCTTAACAGTAGTGATGAGGAAATGGTTCATTTGCTCATTAAAAAAGCTACGATGTCCAAACTTGTTATTATTTCCATTATTTTTTAATGGCCACCTTTATACGTTAGGTCATTTTAAACATTTTTGTTTCTTGCCATATTGCCATATCTTTAGATTAGAAGGTCTGTAGGAATTTGTGGTGTTCAGGCAACAGAAAAGCACGATCAATCTTGAATTAACACAGGAGACCATCTCTGCTGCTTGCCACTACTCCTAATAATAGCTAGCGAGGGGTTTCTGGCATCTTAAGGTACTTATGGTTTAGGAGAGCATATATGTAGCTCAGGATTGAACCGTGGAGTCCTTGGTGGTCTCTGAGCTTGATCATTACCAAGGATTTCATGGTTCGTATGGTACTAGAAGGCAAGTGGCCTTCCTTTTGAGATGTTGCTCTGAGATGACACGAACAAGTGACTTGCTCTTAGTTTCAGATCATTTCTGCTGGTCTTTTCAAAGTGTCCCCCCACCACCATATTCTCAGATGAGACTGAAGATCAGAGTCAGAATGACCAGGGACTTTCTTGAGGTTTGTTATAAAGACTAACAGTGTATTATATAGTCAGCAAAATGACCGGGTTCGCAAGTGTCCTGTTTCAGGCCATAATCCAACAGATTATGATTTATGGATTCTTCTCCACCCAACTGCTATTCTACGTTCGACCGTTCTTATTCCACTTATGAAATGGAAGTAAGGGCTGTACGACAAAGAGCCTACTATACGTTCCTTTCTCACAACTACTCTTGTGAGACCCATAATCTCCCCAAGGAAGAGCCAACATCACCTCTTCTCCCGCTATAAATTAAGAATAGAAGCAGAGTAGCTGAAAGGGAAATGGAATTAAGTCTGACCCTCACATTACACAAGGGCCTTTGTGTTGTTTTGTGTTGAGTTTTACAAGACAGTGAAAGGGTGCTCTGGATTCCCTTCCTTCTCCTCCCTCCCCCCCCTCCCCATTTCCTCTGGCTATATAATCTTGATTTTTATCCCCCTCCCCAGCAAGAAATCCAAAGGGGATTTTCTTGTTGTTGTTGAAACAATAGAGGAAGCTTTGACCACTTGTGTGTAATTATTTTGAAAACGGTATGCAATTCAGGATTGTTGTTGTTGTTTTTAGGTTGCTGTTTATGTTTACAAAACGCTGAAGTGTTATCAGATGATATTTTTGTTTTTAACAACAACAACAAATCTTTAAAGCTGGGATTTAAATGATTGAGATGAAGCTGACACAACGCAAGATCAGATGGTTTTGAGGGTCGAGACCAGAAGTATTGGTTAATTAGCATTGGTCTCAAAAGAAAAAAGAAAAAGAGGGGAAAAAAATAAGCTTTCGGGTTTTTTTCCTCCCCACTCCTGGTGAACCTTTTCAAAACAAATCGAAATGTATATTCTTGTAGGTTATTTTCTCTCTTTTGCCATCAGCTGGCGAGTGTCTTGTTCCGTACCACGACTAGCCTATTCGATTTATTCTCTTGATTTTTCTAAACTTTCCCCCCTGAAATATTTATACATTATTTCTGTTGTTTAGAAACCAGCAGAGGGAAAGTTGGATCGTAACTTCTCAATTTACCACTGGCTGACTTGTTTTTGGTCCAGCTTTATTTTGCTGCTTGCGTTATTGGTCTTTGGTTTTTCGCCCATATGTGTATATAAATATATATATAGATACATATATATATGTATATATATAATTATGGACTGCAGGAAAAAAAATACAATTTACTTGCCTGGTATAGAAGGAATAAGTTTATTTATATGATAGTGTTAAATGAAGTCTGATGTATTCAAGTGATGTTTGTTGTATTGCATGCAAACCCATGAAAAGGAGACATTCCATGGGGGGGGAGGGGAAATGCGGGGGAGGGGCGGTTGAGAAAGAGTTTCTTTGCTCCTTCGGACTGTTTTAAAAAGCTGAATGTTTTCTACTTCCCTTAGCAACTTGAACAAAAATAATAATAAAATCTGATCTCCTTCTAACCTGAAGAGTCATGAATAGGAAATATTCAAATGTTAACTGGGGGACAGATTAGCAATGGATTGAGGTGTCCTGTCCCCCCCCAAAAAAAAATTAAACCAGTGGGAAATTCAATAAGGGGTAAAAAAAATCAGTAGTAAAGAGCCCATAAGTAACTTTCAAATCCAGTCTAGTGCAGTGGTGAAATCCAATTTTTTTTACTACCGGTTCTGTGGGTGTGGCTTGTTGGGCGTGGTGTGGCTTGGTGGGGGAAAGATACTGCAAAAATCTCCATTCCCCCCACTTCTGGGGGACGGATATTGCAAAATCTCCATTTCCACCCCACTTGTCGGCCAGCCAGAGGTGATATTTGCCTGTTCTCCGAACTACTCAAAATTTCCGCTACCGGTTCTCCAGAACCTGTCAGAACCTTCTGAATAGCACCCCTAGTGCTATTCAGGTCTAGTGTTGTCCCAAGAAGCCATGCTTATCAGAAATGATTGTAATATCAAACTATGTCCTCTACTCTGGTAGTATCAAAATCAGGGGTCAACTTCTAAGATGTATGGACTTCAAATTCAGGAATTCCCCAGCTAGTATAATGGATGAAGAATTCTGGCAGTTGAAGTCCACAAGTCTTAAAAAGTTACCAAGTTTGGACTGAGTAGGATAACCTGCCATGGCCAACTGATCCTGGCCCATCTTGCCATGGCCCGACTCGCCCTGGCCGACAGTTCAACAAGGGATAACTCAACAGAGGGACAAGCGATTTGCAGCGGGCCTTGTCTTGCTTCAGGTTTGAACCTTCTCAAGTTGGAAGTCCTCAAGGCTGGGGTGAGCTGCAATTCTACTCGTCTCTCTCTTGGAGTTATCCCGCAGCAAGTTGTCCCTCTGCGAATTGGCCGGGGCAAGTCTGCTGGGGGAAGTTGTCTTAGATCAGGGATGTCAAACTCAATTTCATTGAGGGTCGCATCAGGGTAGGGTTTGACTTCAGGGGGGAGCTAGGGGTGTGTGGCCAATTCGACGTCACTTGTGTTGGGGGTGCTTGTGGTGGCCCAAGTGCTCTGCCAGTGAAAACAGGCTCCTGAGCTCTGTTTTTGGCTGTGATGGCATCCTGCAACCTTTGCCAGCAAAAACGGAGCTCATGCAGCCCTCCCGAGCTCCATTTTCACTGGCAGGGGCACCGTGGGCGAGTCCTTTGCTGTTTCCAGGACGGCCCTGTGGGCCAGATCAGAGCACCCCGCAGACTGGATCCAGCCTTGAGTTTGACACCCCTGTCGTAGACCGAAGTTTGGAAACTTCTGCCAAGAAAGTCCAGGCTTCAGCTAGCTAGGGAATTCTGAGATGAGAAGTCAAGTACATTTAGAGAGTACCACAATTGAATGTAAGTGGGGGGGGGGAAATTACATTAGAATAAGCCACAGAGTGCAAAGAGACCTGATAGAGGAACGCCGGTGTTCCAGATCAGAGATGCTGAAAATACATAGCACCTTATAATTTCCTCTTCGGATTTCTCCCCACCCGTTTCTTTTTATGCCTCCTGTTTGGCTTTTCCTTCTAGTTTCCTTCTGAGTTTAGGAGACTTTGACCTACATTGGTTCCTAATCCTCTCGCAATGAGCATTTTTTAGGAGCATAATATCTTCTATTCGATGAAAACGTGGAAGTCTTAGCTACTAGAATTCTTCAGGTAATCCAAATATTGGCTAAGCATTTTCAGGTGGCAATGATTTAACACTCTTCTAAGAGTTTTTTTTTTCCTGGGATACACACCTTTACTAAGGGTAGTTTTAAAGTATAAAGTGTAATGGTATAAATAAAGAATTCTTCTGTGTGTCAGAAATAAAACTCTGCTTTAGATTGTCTAAAGAAAGCACGACGCGAAAGGCTTTTCTAGAGATTCGGAATAATGATGACGGTTGCATTGGCTCATGTCTAAGGGTGATCAAAAAACGTGTTTTTTTTCTCTCATTAAGATAAGAAACTCATTTTCAGTGTATGCTGCTTCAAATTGAAATTTACATGACTAAATGTCTTACGCACAGAAAAAAAAAATGAGTTGAACATTTGGAGCGTACCGAGAAAGAGGTTATGCTTGAAAGAAGGGACATGAAAGAGTGTCTGTGTTGCTTTGGTAAAGAAAAAGAAAAAGAAAACAACATAGCTGTGTAGAAATCCATGCTAAAAAAAAAAGGCAGCATTCAGGACAATTGGGTTTCAATAAAGTCAGGAAAACGTTCACTGAAAGAAGAGACGTCTGGCGAAAAATAAGAGATGCTGAATTGTACAGGTTTGCCTGACGCTATTAAAAAGAAACCCTGACGAAAATTGCATCTTTATTAACCCGATTGTACAAGATTGTAAGTAATGCAAATTAGCTCTATACTAATACACTGGTCCTTGATTAGAAAGGACCGTGAAAATGTCAGATGTCCGGCAAAGTTGCAGTAGAGAGTTAAGATACAAAGCTAACGGTTGTATACAGGGGTCTCCAACCTTGGCAACTTTAAGACTTGTGGACTTCAACTCCCAGTATTCCTCAGCCAGCAAAGCTCCACAAATCCACAAGTCTTAAAGTTGCCAAGGTTGGAGACCTCTGGTTGTATGAGACTCTTTGCCAGATGCATTCAGTGGTGGTGACTGATCTGGAACCTGATCTTAGCAGATCTTCCTCCTGTCAAGTAGATAGATTGATCATATCTCCATCCTGGTAAAAGCCTGGAGGCTAATGACTGCCATGTTTTATGGCTGGGATTTCTACTAATCAGTGCAATGGCCTACAGATCTCTTCTGAATTGCCAGACAGCTGGCTTGGTTAACTAGGAGTTTGGGGTTTATGAGAGAAGGAACGCCTCTCATAATGGGACAACTGGCCAAGGACAAGTGGCCATGGGACAACTCTCTGTGGACAACTCACTGCGGGACAATTCAACAATTTAATTATTTAAAATACAGACAGTCCTCGACCTATGATCAAAATTTCTGTTAGGTGAGAAATTTGTGAAAGGAGTTTTGCCCCATTTTACGATCTTTCTTGCCACAGTTGTTAGGGGAATCACTGCAGGGGATAAGTTAGTCACCTGATTGTTCAGTGGATTTGGCTTTTCCATGGACTTTGCTTGTCCAAAGGTCGCAAAAGGGGATCATGTGACCCCGGAATGCTGAAACCGTTATAAATATGTGTCTGACTGTGGATCACATGATTATGGTGATGCTGCAAAGGTGCTAACTGTGAAAAATGGTCAAAGTCACTTTTTTCAGTGCCATTGTAACTTTGAATAATAATTAAATGAAGTGTTGTAAGTCGAGGATTACCTGTAATTTAAAAAAAAATACTTTAATTTTTGTCATTCACATTTCATTTTGTCCTTCCTTCTGTATCCTTTCTTTCGTGATTCTATTCCACCATTTCTTTGGTATTAGTGTAACTCTTGTCCTGCGGCGAGTTGGCCATGGGGACAGTGAGTTAGCCACAGCATGTTGACCCTGCCAAGTTGGCCTTGACGAATTGGCCATGAAGAGTTGGCCATGGTGACGGTGAGTTAGCCGCAGCATGTTGGCCCTGCCAAGTTGGCCTTGACGAATTGGCCATGAAGAGTTGGCTATGGTGAGGAAGCCACAGTGAGTTGGCCATGGGACATTGGCCATGGCAAGTTAGCTATGGTGAGTTGACCATGGTGATTTGACCATGCTGAGTTGGCTATGGTCAAGTTGGCCATGGTGAGTTGACCATGGTAAGTTGACCATGGCAAGATGGCCACAGTGAGTTGTCCTACACCCAACACCTGCATATCAGTGCACTACATTCCATATGGTCTTTCATCTTGTGCTGCCTCACCTTTCTGTCCTAAAGAAGCCTCAAAAGGTTTGACTCAACTTTACAAGTATCTTTTCCAGGACCAATTTCTCTGATGTTTGAAAAGATGGACATTTGATTCCCCTACCCCGTCCCCATGGCATTCCATGAGCATTTGGTCCTGGATCTCTACTGAGCTAAGTTCTCAAACCATCTAAAGTGAATGTTGAAGGAAACGAGGAAAGAGGGATGCACAAAACTGTCAGTATTGACTAAGCATTCTTATTTTGGTTCATTTCCACAGCTCCAAAATATATCCAGCTTCTGTTTTGTGGAATGCAAGTAACTATTGATGATACACTTTTCTTTTTCTTTAAAAAAAAAATCACTTATGTAAAAATATGCAGTATTTAAATACTCTGGCATTTGTATTATGTGTGTTCAGTGTGAATAGTGGATCATGTCATGTAACACAGGTTTTTTTTTTTGTTCTTGATTAATTTTTATCTAAAGTCTCTATACCATTTTTGTAAAAAAAAAAAAAAACCAAGGAAAAAGAAACAAAAAGTTTGCTTTTCGATATTTTGTATAGTTAATATAGATGGTTTTGACTAAATGCTTTATTTATTTAATAGCAAAACTGTGCCAAGAGATACCCTTGTTAATTAAAAAAAAAATTACTAGTTCAGATGTATAGACATCTCATTTCTTTTTTGAAGTTCAGTTCATTGTGTCTTTGTTTCTTGTTTCACCACTCTCCTGAATTCCTGCTTTACACAAAACAAAATAATTTCTTTTGTTCCCATTTCCTGAGAAACACTATTGGCACAAATCGGGGTAAGGAGAGTCTTGGGTCATTCAGCTGGTAGAGGAAAACAACACAAAATTTGCTTCAAATAAATTAACCCAAGGATCTAATCCAAAGAATCCAGCCTCAATAGCTTTCAAAGCCAAATGTTTCAAATCCTGTTAAAACAATCTTCTTCTTCTTCTTCTTCTTCTTCTTCTTCTTCTTCTTCTTCTTCTTCTTCTTCTTCTTCTTCTTCTTCTTCTTCTTCTTCTCCTTCTCCTCCTCCTCCTCCTCCTCCTCCTCCTCCTCCTCCCCCTCAACTCCTACAATTCTTCCTTCCCCATTTGCCACCAAAAGAGCAAATGCTATAGTAATTGTGAGTATAATCAAAATAGCCAAAGTGTAACTTGGATGTCAAGCTGATTTTTTTTTTCTTGAGGGTTTTTCATGTATTTGACCTGTGTGTATGTGTGTGTGTGTTAAGCTAGAATCTTAACTACACAGCAATAGCAATAGCACTTATATACCTCTTCACAGTGCTTTACCGCCCTCTCTAAGTGGTTTACAGAGTCAGCATATTGCCCCCAACAATCTGGATCCTCATTTTAACCCACCTCGGAAGGACGGAAGGCTGAGTGAAGTTTGAGTCAGTTGGGATCGAACTCCTGGCAGTAGGCAGAATCAACCTGCAATACTGCATTGTAACCACTGTGTCAGGAAGGAGGGATGGATGGATGGATGGATGGATGGAGGGAGGGAGGGAAGGAGGGAGGGAGGGAGGGAGGAGGAAGGAAGGAAGGAAGGAAGGAAGGAAGGAAGGAAGGAAGGAAGGAAGGGCAACAGACCTTAGACTTATATACTGCTTTACAGCCCTCTCTAAGTGGTTTACAGAGTCAGCATATTGCCCCCAACAATCTGGATCCTCATTTTACCCACCTCGGAAGGATGGAAGGCTGAGTCAACCTTCAGCCTGGTGAGATTCGAACTGCCAATCTGCTGGCAGCCGATGATCAGCAGAAGTAGCCTGCAGTACTGTACTCTAAGCACTGCGCCACCTCGGCTCAAATAGTGATGGTATAGCATGTATACTCATATAGTATACATGCTATACCATTCATCATGACTGTGTTCGCTTGAGACCGTAAGTTAGAAAACAAGGAAAGCACTATCTTGCCTAGTCTTAATACAACGTGTGAAATATTATTGGCAGAATAATGGAACCCAGAATTGGCTCCATCCATCCATAGACCAAATGATGAACTTCAGTGGATGATGAACTTCGGAGGTGATGGAGACGTTCACCAGATATGGATTCCTGGAGATTGAACCGGTTGGTTCTAACAAAAGGGCCCACAAGTTGATGGGGCGATAACCCTCCCTTTCTAATCCAGTACAGCTTCTTTGTACAAACCACAAAAGCTCCACACAACCCCGTCAATGAATTTCGAGCAGCCACACCACAGCATTGTTTACTGGGGTGCGTGAACCGATGACAAAGCCCATCCACCAGTGGTGGGATTCAAAATTTTTGACTGCCGGTTCTGTGGGTGTGGCTTGATGGGCGTGGTGTGGCTTGGTGGGCGTGGCAGGGGAAGGATACTGTAAAATCTCCATTCCCACCCCACTCCAGGGGAAGGTTACTGCAAAATCCCCATTTCCTCCCGATCAGCTGGGACTCGGGAGGCAGAGAATAGATAGGGGCGGGGCCAGTCAGAGGTGGTATTTACTGGTTCTCCGAACTACTCAAAATTTCTGCTACCGGTTCTTCAGAACTGGTCCGAACCTGCTGAATATCACTTCTGCCATCCACTATTAACTTTCAAAAACCCCTTCCAACTGGAGATTCCAAGCACGTCCCTCTTCCCTTTACACCATCCATTAAAACCATCTACTCCAAACTTCCGTGGTAGCCCAAACCAACACAATTTATAAAAAATGAAATAAAAGAGAAGGTGGTGTTTCCGCTTATATTTATGGGTGCTTCCATTCCTCCTTCTGCCCTCTGGGCCTTGTGCTGCTGACTCTTGATGTGACACACATATTTGTAGAGTTGGCAAGAGCAATTTAAAGGAGTAGCAGATTTTGGAAAGGGGGTGGGAGGGAGGGAGAGAGAGAGAAGGAAGAGAGAAAGAGACAATGAGGGGAGGGTGTCAGAGATAAACCTTATTAGGTTTCCTTCACCAAAGGAGAAAAGAAACGATATTGACTTAAATGTGAGGAATTTAAAAGGGCCCATATGTTCTCACTTTGTGCTTTGTTTCTAATAGATAGGCAGAAATCTTTGAAGTGTGGATTGGCTCAGTGGGGGGCATGCTTCTATAGAGAAAAAGATGCTAGGAGAGAGGATAGAAGGCCATGTGAAAGTCTATTAACCATGCAACAGCAGAGAGAGAGGCAAATCTAGTGATAATGTACATCTGTTTCAGCGACTTTATAAGCTTTGAACATTTTTTATGTGCTGATAAGTGGATCCTTTTCTTACCATAACTTAGAACTTCAAAGGAGATTGTGTGGATAATGCAAATTGCTGAAATATGAGATTTTCTTACAAAGGCGTGTTTTTTTTTTTTTACACACACACACACACACACAAAATTTGGAAAGAGGCTGGGGGAGGATAGCAAAAGAGGACAGAATTAAGGCTAATTGATGCCACAGTCTTTTTTTTTGGAGCAGTGCAGAAACTTGACAAAAATTGATTTTAGGGGGAGAAAAAAAATGTAAGGGCAGTGATGGGTTGGGGTGGGGGGAGACTACATTAAAATGTCTTTTCTCCACCACCCCCTCCTTTTGCGGGTGAAGGTTTTAGTTGGAGCAGGAACGTTTGAGGCAGAAAGTTAGGTGGCAGAAATGAACCTCGGTGGCAAAGCTGTTGGTGCTAATAGAGGCCTCGTGGACGCAAAAAGGAAATGTGACAGGAAGCACGGAGTAATTTGTCCGACTTCAATGGATTATTCATTTCATCCTTATGATAAGCTGAAGAGTTTGAAGGAGATAGTACTTTGACTTATATTATTAAATGGCGATAACTAACTCGGTGCCCTGTTTAATGGAATGAAGGACTAGGGGTGAGATGATAGCAGTCTTCCAATATCTCAGGGGTTGCCCCAAAGAAGAGGGAGTCAAGCTATTCTCCAAAGCCCCTGAGGGCAGGACAAGAAGCAATGGGTGGAAACTAATCAAGGAGAGAAGCAACCTAGAACTAAGGAGACATTTCCTGACAGTCAGAACAATTAATCAACGGCTGTAGGTGCTCCATCATTGGAGGGTTTTAAGAAGAGATTGGACAATCATTTAGAACTAGCAGTAGCACTTGAATTTATATACCGCTTTACAGTGCTTAACGGCCCTCTCTAAGTGGTTTACAGAGTCAGCATATTGTCCCCAACAATCTGGGTCCTCATTTTACCCACCTCGGAAAGCTGAGTCGACCTTGAGCCAGTCAGAATCGAACTGCTTGCGGTGAGTAGAATTAGCCTGCAAAGCCACTGGCCCACCATGGCTACAGTTTGTCTGAATTGTCTTGAGCAGGGAGTTGGAGTAGAAGGACCTCCCAAGGCAGGGGTGGGCTTCAAAAATTTTAGCAAGGGGTTCTCTGCCCAGTTGCTGGGTGGGTGTGGCCATGGTGGGTGTGGCCTAATTAGCCTCGTGCTCCATGGCAGGGGGGGGCATTTTTGTCCTCCCCGGACTCCGGAGGCTTTCCTCGAGCCTCCGAGTGGGCGAAAACAGCCTCCCCAGGCTCCGGAGGCCCTCTGGAGGCTGGAAACAGGCCCATTTCTGGCCTTCCCAAACTTCCAGTAGGCCCGTTTTTCACCCTCCCCAAGTGTCCGTGCATGTCCTGCACTTACCTGCATCCACAACAGGCCGCGTGGGGACTCCTGGGAGGGGCGGGGTGGGAGGGGGCCAGCCAGGATTGGGATTTGGGGGTTCTCTTAGCCAGAGGTTCTCCCAAACCCCTGCAAACCCCCAGCAACCCACCCCAGCTCCAAGTTCCCTTCCGGCTCTTGTTATTCTGACCACTGGCTTCTCTGCAGTTAAACTGGGACCAATGACTAGAGAAACCTTACAATTCTAAAATACCTTCAGAAGATGAGGAAAAGGGAGAACTGCCCTCCAACCCCTTAGTAGGCCTTTGACATTGACTCAAGAGGCTGTGGGGAAGCGTCACAAGGATAGTTACTTAATCTAAGTCAACACATAACAGTTAAACCACTCTAGTCTAGAACTTAACTTGGTTTCGTAGGGCAAAGATGAGAGACAGAAAACGGGTGATGAGTTGGTATACAAAAAAGTTTGGCTGTCCAAGGCCAAGGAAACCATACAAGCATAGAATCACGGGGCTGGAAGAGATCTTGGAGGTCTTCTAGTCCAACCTGGTGCACAAGGCAGGAGACCTTATAACATCTCAGAAAAATGGCTGTCCTATTTTCTCTTGAGAAGGGACTGAGTGGCTAAGACGCTGAGCTTGTCGATCAAAAGGTCGGCAGTTCAGCAGTTCGAATCCCTAGCGCCGTGTAATGGGGTGAGCTTCCGTTACCTGTCCCAGCTTCTGCCAACCTAGCAGTTCGAAAGCAGGTAAAAAATGCAAGTAGAAAAATAGGGACCACCTTTGGTGGGAAGGTAACAGCGTTCCGTGCACCTTTGGCATTGAGTCATGCCGGCCACATGACCACGGAGACGTCTTCGGATAGTGCTGGCTCTTCGGCTTTGAAACTGAGATGAGCACCGCTCCCTAGACTCAGGAACGACTAGCACATATGTGCGAGGGGAACCTTTACCTTTAGCTATCTTCTCTTGAAAAGGTCCAGTATTCATCTGATTCTGAAATATATTGTGGAGCACAGAACATGCACTTCCAGATTCCCCCTACGCCCCCCTCCCAAAAGAACAATGAAGGT